AAAGGGTCACATGCATTTTTTTTTCTGAAGGAAATTATTTATTTTTTTAATTGGTAAAATCTGCAGTTCATTTTATTTCAAATGTCCTGAAAAAGCAGAAAGGTGTGCAGGCATTGAAGTGAATTGCAGTTAAAGAAGAAATATGCATGCTTCTTCCAGGGCAGCAGCTTAAAGTATTGCAGAGACAGCCAGACAACTGGAATTTTTAGAAGCAGTCCCCCAGTAGTGGCTTCCATATTTCTTTTTTGACAGGTATACTTAATTAACCATTGGAGCCAGCCAAAGTGTTTTGTTCACACGTATTACCTGGCTCTTAACAATTATCCTTGTGAGACCCATTAAAAAATCATATATGCGAGTATTTCATTTATATTTTGTCATTCCATCCTGGTAAATGTCAAGGTATATTTTCCTGAATTTTTAGGCCTAGTTCACGCTGACATGCACAGCCTTATAGCACACATGTCTTTGCAGAAATCTGCACCCGGGAATGATAGCTGATGCGGCTGCACGCTGCTACACGCCGACCCAACTTTACACATCCGTACAGGTGTAGATGCACACTCCTCAATGAAGATTGTCTGCATCCAGCGGCATGCATCTGTACCTGTACGGATGTGAAACTTCAGGTTGGCGTGTAGCAGCGTGCAGCCTGTCTCAGAGATGTACAGGCGGCTGCACACACCAGCTGTCATTCCCGAGCACAGGTGGTGGAACTACAAATTCCACAAGGCATTGCAAGATTCTCAGACATGACTCCCGAAGAGAGATGCCTCATGGGATTTGTAGTTTCACCACAGCTGGAGGTTTGCTACCCCTGTCTTAAATGTATCATTTTTAAATACAGATGTTTGATGTTTTATGAATTTGATCATTGTACTACTTTCCAGTAAAGTATTCATTATAGGAGAATGTTGACAGCAGCAAAAATTCTCCCATCTGTATTGACGGGCTGCTGCTTAGGAAGGAAGCAGCAGGAACCTTGCGAGCGCCTCTCCTTATTTAACATCTAGCTGCAGTTTAATGTTCGGTTGCTCACAGAACCCTCTGAAACAGATGGTGCAGGTGAAGCTGTTATTTTTAAGTATCCTGTCTCCCAAGTGCTGAAATCCATTTGCTATACACACCGAAAGTTAATGCTGCTAACGAGGGTAATTGAACACGCTTTTTGGCAAACACATTTAGCAGGATGTGACATGGTGCCACGTTCTGTCCTGACTCCTTTTATTGCTAGTGTGCCAGCCCTTTTCCTCATTCCTCCCACTGATAGAGGTCCTGCATCACCCCTGTCAGTCTCCTGTGTGCCCAGGCTCTCTGCACCTGTTCCAGATGGGTAACTCAGTGGGGGGACACTGGCAGAGGCAGATGTGTTTGCATGCCGGAGATGTAGCGCTGTGCTACAGATGGTGATGCCTAAGAGGGAGTGGGGTGTGTAAAACTATTGTTAAATATCACAGTGTTCAGGGCCCCTGCTGTTATCACTGTTCAGCCCTTGACAGTGCAAAATATAGTAATTGCTACAGATTGCCCCATCTTCATAGTGACCTATTGCTAACTACTGTAGTCCAAATAAGTGTAATAGGTAGGTATTTTTAATTTCATTTTGATATTTAGAGAGAACATCTGCAGCACCCTTCCCATATTTATTTTACAGTCTAGTTATCAATTGTTTTATCATAGCTGCAATATTTCTTCTTCTTTTTTTTTTTTTATTATACTTGACATTGTATAAGATGTTTATTGATTTTAATTACAATGAAGAGAAAACATATCCAACCTACCTTACAATACATGATTCGATACTGCACATACAAGTATTTTTTTTTAGCCCATGTCTCTGGAAGAGATTGCTTGTTTATGTTTGTCCTCAGGCAGTCTTTAGTAACATGGCAGTATTCTTTTAATAATATTTTTTTAATAATGTGTTATGTGCCAATATGATACCTTTTGTGGTAACATATTGGCATAGGTAAAATTTGGGTTTGCAGGCATGGTTGGGTGTCAATAGCAGTTTGGGTTTCAAAGTTTTTTATTAGTTTCCATATTTATAGGCTTCAAAGCGCATACAACAATAGAAAAAGCAACAAAACGGTTATATAATTATCTAACATATATGACATGATAACGGCATAGCATAACGATCAATCATCTTAGAGCGCCAACAGCGCGTACGGTGCATTAGTTCATATATTCAATTATTCTCTCATGTCGTTCTGAGTACCGGTATTTATCACCTTATCTATCGATGCCAAATCCCTCTAGATGGGTGGTTTACATCTCCCACCAGGAGAAAATTAAATGGAAACACTATTTAGTTAGAGAAAGAAAAAAGAGAAAAAAATAAATATATATTTAAGAAATATAAAAAATAAATTAAAAATTCAACACAAAAACAAAAAAGACAGTTATAAGATCGCAAGTTCATAGAATTCTACTATCTACGGCCTAATCTAACCCGAGGGCGTGGACAAGATGCCCGACAAGTTTGAAATCCCTTGTCAATAGCAGTTTGGAGGACATTGGAGAAGTATCTCAGACCTCTAACATGGAGCCGTTGGGTAGCAAGGCAGTATGTATACAGTCATGGATAAACAAGACTAAACAAGAAAATAAATAAAATCATCATTTTATTGTGAAGCCTCCAAACCCTCCTTTTACTCCATTTCAGACTCTTGAAAGTGTAGTGACATAAACTTAAGGCCATGTTGCAACTTCTGTAGCTGGCATAGATATTAAGGGGTTTTATAAGGCTTCTTCCTCTAACCTTCCATTAATGGAATGAAGGTTAAACGAGGCTAAAGAGAGCCGGGGGGTTGCAAGAAAGGATATTGCCAGCTTCCACAGTTTTACTTCTGCAGGATAAAGGCATAGCCATAAGAAGGTTGAGACATGCTACAAAACTTACCACGTGCAAGGTAAGCCCTTTGTGTGATCCTGTAGCACCCTTGTCTCCTGCTTCTATAGCCACCAAATGAGTTGTAAGCCAAAACGATTATCAGAGCTGCAGGTTAGAAACTTCCATTAAAACCACCCGTGGCCAAAGCTCTCTCTAAAACTGGGCATACACAGAGTGAAGTTTATCTGATTCTTAATGAACCGTCTGAAATTTGTTCAGTGTGCGTGGCCCTATCTGCTGCTTCCCACCCGAGATCCTATGATTGAGAAATTGAAACAGTCAGGGGAAAAATTGTTGACATAACAGCGCCTACATCCAGTCAGATGAAGTACCTGTTCAGGTACAGTAAACTCCCCTATATCTGGCATTCAAGCAACCGGCACCAAAAATCAAGAACATAATATGTCCATTTTTTTTTTTTTGCTGGTTGCTTGGTGCAATCTATTTAGTTGCTAACTAAATTATTTGCATCTTGCTGCCGGCCTTGGGCTAGATTCTGCGGTCGGCAGCAGAATGTAAACAATGTGGAGCAATAGCCTGCCTGCTATTGCAATAGAAAATAGCAGGAAGGCTATTGTACCAAGCGACCTCAAACTACAGTTATCCGGCACCTACTGATCGCCTTGGGTGTCGGATAACTGGGAGTTTACTGTACTTTGACAGCCGTTGGGCCGACTGTCAAAATACAATAGCCACAGCGGAAGGTTCCTCCTTCCACAATGTTTGACATGGATGGAGGAATCCTGTTTTGTTTTTGTTTTTTTTACCGTTCATCTTTCAGGCTGAACCAAAGAGAAATCTACCAGTGTATACCCAGCTTAACTTCTTCCTGTTCAGGGACAGAAGATTGGAGAAAAAGAGGAGTTTAGTCTTGTTGCTTGTACCTTACTAGATGGCCTGAGACAATCTTACTGTGTTCTTTCATCTAGGTGAATCATTAAAAAAAACACACTAGGAGCACAAATTAGTTGTATTTTGGGAACTATATTTGTATTATTCTGGTGACTGTTTTTTATTCTAAGTATATTTCTGGCAAAAAAATTGAAGTTAAGTTTTAGGCATTGTGGTGTGTGTGTGGTGTGTGTGTATCTCTATCGCGCACACACACACGAAAATGTAACAGATTCTTTAATGCTGAAATCCAACTAGCATTTACTAAAGGATATATTACCAAGGTGGGTGTACTTATTCCTAGAAGTCCAGCTTTCCTTTAAAGAAGCATTTTGAATTCCCTTACAAAATTGAAATGGTAGGTCCTTGCATTAGAACAGATAATATAATCACCTTTCTGATGACCTGTGTCCCCTACCTTCCCTCTATTCCAGCACTTCAGTCTTTATCAGATGCCTATGTCCCTACCACAGGATGCGACTCCATTTTTCCTATGTCACTAAGAACACAGCAGTAAAAAGATAGGGCCACAGTCCATGACAGGAGGCTGCATTGCTGCAACAGAGGGAAAGTAGGAGACGCAGGACAATGGAAAGTTCAGTATAATGACTTTTCTGTTGCAGGGACCTGCTGTTTTGATTCGTTTAGGGAGCTGACAGGGTCTCTTTAAGGGCTTGTTCACACCATGTCTGGACCAGAACGTTGTTTTGTGTCCGCTCCTGAAAT